TGATGCCAAGGGATCACATGAAGAACTCTGAGTTTTCCCCCCGTTTTGGTAGATCTTACATACTCTCCTATTGTGTGTCATCAAACAGCTGATGAGGGAGGAGTGGAGAGCACTGAAAGAGCAAATAGGCACTCGAACCACTGACAGTAAATGAAAGCAAAATAGTAAATCTATGGAAGTAGTCTGGTTGTGGAATGGACTACTTCAAGTCAAATTCAGGTCTGGGGCAAACAGATCGACTACTTCTGAAGCAGCACCTAGAGGCAGTGGTGACCTGATTCACCATCAGTTTATGGGAAGCTGCACATTAACTTCAGAGGATTCTGAGCAGACAGGAAAGAATTCAAAGTCTCATGACACTGGTGTCTTGTGTATCTCCCTCTTGCTTAGAATTTTTGCATCACGTACTCCCCTCCTCTAGGTGTAAGGCAGTAGACTTGATGACGGACCATTGGTATGTCTATCATCATAATGAATCTATAAGAATAGATGAGTATTTTTGACCACACATCTTATAGTAAATTTGTTTTGAGGTATAGCGTCTTGTGGAGTGATCACAAAGCAAAGAAAGCGTTACTATTAACTTTCGGGCTCTAGTTTTGTTTTGCTTTACTTCCTACCTTAAACATACTTGAAAATTTGACACAACTCCCCATAAATAAGCACCTTCAATGATTAATTTTTCAAGGCAAATTTCTCTTGCATTGTTGGTGCAGTGACCTTCCAGGATTGTGAGCAGTCTTTTGTTTTAATGACTTCAAAAATCTCTTAGGATCCTTCACCCAAAACTTTTATGAGCAAGTAGCTCTCTGCTCTGGGAATGCCGTCTCCATTACTAACTGAAAAAAGCAATGCTTATGTATCCCACGCCAACACCGAAACATAATCAAATAAGGAATACTGGTTACATATTAGACACTGAGCATAGTAAGAGAGACACACTGAATTTTAGTAATTGTCAGAAGAACACAGCTTAGTGAAAACAGATCCTGTTTCACAGGAACACAAAATTCTAGTTTATAATTTAGAGGAAGAGGAAATGCAGCCTAACATACGTTCCACTGATAAGGCACCCTACATTCTTACAGCTTGTAAAGGCATTACACAAAGAAATGCTCATGCAGTACCTTCAACCATACAAACATATGATCAACCACCATTCATGTTACATTATCAGTATCCTACTTACCAGTGCTTAAAATGTGACTCTACGTTAGATTGAGTGAACTCCTTTAATTCGTGATTTCTAGTTAAGCATCCCGACTCATCAAGTGGGGGCAACTTCTAACCCACCCATTACAAGACTCCTCTGCAATATATTTGCCCAAATCAGTGCACTCAAACTCCTACAGAAATTATCCAACAGCATGAGCTGGGTTGGAAAAAAAGTCTGCCTTGCTGTGAAAGAAGACATTACCCCACCAGAACTATCACCCTTATGGCTTCCTTTTCTTTTTTTTTCTTCTTTATTTACTTTTTAATGGAAGCAAAAACCCCTGTCATCTCACCTACTCCCCTCTTAATAAGGAATGACTGCCGTGACTACCCCCATCTAGAACCACCATTCACTGCCAGCACCTCTGCTCTCCTCGTGTGCTTAGAGAACAACTGATTAGCACTTTGCATAATTAACCTGATTAGCACTGTGCATAATCAAACTGATTAGCACTTTGCATAATTAAAAAGAAATAATAATAATAACAATAATAAGCAGTAGGTAATAGCAAAAACTGCTAGTCCCAATGCCTGTTCGTTAGCTCTAGGATTAGTTTAGTGCGGCATATTTTATTTCTTAAAACTATTTTTTTAAAGATGCACAATCTCCTGAGAGAAGTTAAATAAGTCTCATTTACTTTCAAGATCACTAGTGAAAATATTGGTTGTTCCACTATTGCAACATAGGATTTCTTGTGACTCCCTCTGCTGCAGCTGAAGACATGGAACGGGACGATGCCTGACCAGAGGGACCACTGGTGTGATTCCTACATCCATCTAAAGCATTGCTTTTGGATCCATTATCAAAGGATACAGAAGCTTCACATCCCTTAATGCATATATCCTCACAACATACTTCAAGGGTAGGAAAGCTGTATTATCATTATTGTCAAGATGGGCAAGGTAGTAAGATGCATATCCTCAGAAGTATGAAGGTACTGTATTCTCTCCTGCCCTGAACAATGACTCCAGACCACAGGAAGGCTGGAGAAGAACATGGAATTAATCAGATTCCTGCCCCTAAGCTTACATCATTCTTCCCCCATTTAAGCATCATTTCTTGACTGTATGTTTTGCATCCTGCTCAAGAATGGTAGAGACAGAAGGTACTTTGACTGCTAGTCTGTCCCACCTCCAGTGTAATCTCCCAATTAGGGTTTCAGGATTAACAACCACCTCCCAAAATCTGAAGAACCCACGTAGCTAAGCCTAGCTCAATTGCAAACTGTGTGAAAACATCAACGTTAAATGTCTGCATCACCAGTGACTCAGTTCTCCTAGGACATTCAATGTCATTCAGCCTAGAAGAGCGAGCCCAAGTGAGTGGGTAAACCACTAACACAGTCTGTTTACTAATGTGGCCTCATCCCTCCTAGTCACCACTATACCCTGTGTTTCTCCTTACTTAATTAACCTTATCTCTCTCTGGCATCCTTATATTATAGCTTAGATTTTCTTTGTATTCCCTACAGAGCAATCTTCACCTTATACCTTACATTATACCTTCAAAAGCACCTGTAATATTCACTGCCAACCCTCCATCACCTCCTCATATTGACCCTGCCTACATTTCCCACCAGGTAGCAGACACACGTTATGCTCTGCTGACTGCTGAACCAGTATGGTTGGGACACTGGGCAACTGGGGAGACAGTTTGTTCAGAGTGATCAGTCTGCCCACCCTGCAGCTGAACAGATAGCAATCGCTGCCTCCAGACTGCATGCGGCCCAGAGGCAGCACATCACACGGACCTGTCCTAGAACAGTGACAAAAACATTCCCACTGTGCGAGAGATTCTCTAGTAAACGCTGTCTTATAAAACAAGCCAACGAGAAACTATGGGGGGAGAGAGCAATAAAGAGAATCTTATCGTCATTAACTGGAAATGTATTACCCACCCACAGCAGCCTTTCCATCACCCCAAGCTAAAGAACCCATACAAACAGCAAAGGGTGCAGAGCTAGTCACTCATTTCACAAGTTGTTTAGTTTCAGAAGAAAAGTGTTGCTGTAGAGATTTTTCAAGTCCAAATGTTCCTGGGGAAGGTAGTTCCAGTAATTCTGGGAAGAAAGCCAATCCCTTGGCTTTATATGTAAATATTTAAACAACATTATTTTTATATACATATATTTTATACACATATACATATATGTCTTTAGACTTCCAGACTCGCAAAACTGCAACAGAAAAAAATATGCCAGTCGATGTACAGCTAACGGCTCACCTGCCTGAACCACGGTAACTGACCGTCAGAAACAGAATAACAACACTGACTTCAAAATAATTGAGCCGTGTCATCTATGTATATTAATCCACCCAAACAGAGGAGCTGAAAGAGTGGGACTACAGATTCTAAAGTAGAGAGATTAAAGTCTTAAATTTTATCTCCTTAGAAGTGGCAAGAATATCAGGTTCATCAATTTTAAATCTTTCAAAGCCTAGCTGGATGCCGAGTGCTCCATCCACAGGTGTGGGATCTCCAGCTTTGGACGACACAAAGCTTCATATTTCTAGCATCTTAGCATTTCAACATGTGACAGTAAAACTGTGACTTCATCATGTTTAGAAACCACTGCTCTTTTAGGCTTGAATCAGGTCCATACCTCAAAAGGTATTACGTGGTAGAAAATGCAAGTGAAAGAATAAAAACGTATCTTGCTCTGAGATTTAGCGAATAAATAAAATGTGAAGAAAGAAAAAAAAGGCTTTAAAATTGTTGAGGAGGGGGTCGATAAAATGGAGGAAGATGACTCAGTGAGCAGAAGGTATCCAGTCAGAGCACATGATGAATAAATCAATACACGAAAATAAAATTTACCACGTGGATTCCACCTGTATATACTCAGTAAGCAAAAACCACACCCTAATATGGGGTACATGTGCATAAATTTGTAGCTGTATTATTTAAAGAAATCAAATATTTATGAATACAATATTTACATGTCTGTTCAAGTATGTATATACAGCACAGCCAGTGTGAGTTTTAAGAAAAGATCACAGAAGTGTACATACATATACTTAAAAAATGTGCAAAAAAAAGACCAAGAGTAGGGCAAGTCTTTTAGAAAATATTTTAATGGCTTTATAAAAAGCCCTCACCCAAAGTTTGAGGGTTTTTTGCAGTCTTACATTTTTCTATTGCAAAATACACCTGCTTTCTTTTCTTTCTTTTTTTCCCCCCTAAACTAAATATTTCTTCCATCTAATGACTCTCTTTATTAGACAGCATCTAATTTGCATACATTTACATACAATTTAACTGCTAGCTTGTGAGAACAAAGAAATGGCTCTGTATTGTACTGAAGGACAATACTCAGAAAAGGAAGGTATAAAAACCAGCTAGCTCGGTGGCTGTATATTCTCTTTGTTTCAGAAATACCAGGATTTTTAAACACACCACTTAAAGGGTGAAAAAGATTATTTCATCAAACAATGAAAAAAGATACAGTGCAGCTCCCTTTTAACACATTCTCTCTCTGGCCTGGTTAATGGGATTTAAGGGTCCAAGATTTCTTTGCTTTCTTCTGTTTCCTTTATTAGAACTGATGGATTTAATTCTGTCACATATTTTACTTCATATTTTATTCCTATAACAATCTATGCTGAAGTTCAGCTCCAATGCTAATTCAATACTATCTTCCTTTCCTTGCTGTCAACCTGGAATACAACTGAATGATCTTTGATGGGCATGAAGTACTCTGCCCTCAATGCCCAAAGCTAATGGATTTTAGAGTCTGCCAGAAATTTACCTTGTGGCAACAAGTCTAGAGATAACAAAAACTTACCATGTAGCTGACTGGGAATCAACAGGAAGGGAAGCAGGGCTGAGCTCCGCTTGTGAGAGCAGGGAGGGACTGTGGTCAGAGTAAACGCGGGATGTAAAGGATGTGCCAAGCCCTCTAGTTCCCTAAAAGAAGAGGAAAAGGATCTTTACGGATCTTACATCAAACAAAAACCTTTAGAAATTGTTGTCAGGAACTCCAACATAGGGTCTACCAAAAGCACAACGCATCAGCAAAGGGTTTTGCTCCAAAGGCTTTGCAGTACGAGTACCAATTGCAGAGGACAGCTGAAAATCTAATCCATGTGGACTTGACATAAAAGCCTTGCAAGAAAAAAAAGCATGGTTTCAGGCTGCATATCTCCATGTCTCCTCAAATGCGCAAAACTCAGTGAAACAAAACAGTCTGTGCCATTTGTCTGCAGAGCTAAGCTGCTAGAGTCACTTCCAAACTCTCCCCTTCCCAGCATCATGCTCAATGACTTGTGCTCAGTGAGGCAGACCAAGTAACACCTACCTATTTTTGAAAAAGTGAAGTACCAAAAATCAGTGGCACGAAGATGGGGGAAAGAAGACCCAGTCACTCTAGTGGCATGTTTTAAGAATCACAGAATGGTTCAGGTTGGAAGAGACCTTACAGATCATCGAGTTCCAACACTGCTGCCATGGGCAGGGACACCTCCCACTAGAGCAGGTTGCTCAAAGCACCATCCAACACTGGCCTTGAACCCCTCCAGAGATTGGGCATCCACAACTTCTCTGGGCAACCTGGGCCAGTGTCTCACCACCCTCACAGTAAAGAATTTCTTCCTAATATCTGATCTAAATCTCCTCTTTCTCAATTTAAAGCCACTACCCCTCATCCAATAATTCCACTCCCCAAAGAGTCCCTCCCCATCTCTCCTGTAGGCCCCCTTCAGGTACTGGAAGGCTACTATAATGTCTCCCTGGAGCCTTCCCTTCTCGAGGCTGAACAAGTCCAACTCTCTCAGCCTGCCTTCACAGGAGAGGTGTACAAAACAGGTACAGTATTTAGGATCCTGCAGTCATCCGCTCCATCCAGCTTGCCGCAGCCAGCCACATGGTATCTGGTACACTGGCTTCATACGATCAGTAGAAGGCCAGGGGTTAATTTAATGGGCATTCTCACACCAGTATGTGCGGCACAGTATGACTGGGACGGAAGATACAGCAGCCACATCACAAGCTGTATATGGAAGAAAATTGTGCTGACACTGCCCTGACATGCCTCACTGGCACTCAACACACATTATAGATTATTTTCAGACACAAATTTTAATTTAAAGCTGGCTGAAATGTTAATGAAGTTTTAGCTCTTTTTCAAATGGGAAAATTTGCTACTGCTTACAAAAGTGCTGTCTTTTTTTTTTCCCCTGCCTGATTTGCTTCTAATGATATATAGCAACCAAACCTCATAAAAGAAATCAATCGAGCCTTCATATAATTTTCCCTTTTCAAGGATGGGAAGGTTGAGGTGTATGATCTCCAGAGTTTCCGGTGAGTACCAAAATGCAGGTTTTAGCAAACACTGGAGAAAGTAAATTCCAAAACCAAAGCTCCTTTAACTATCATGTCCTATGCTCACAGCTACAGCTTGCTGAAACAACTGGGTTGTTATTTCCAGAACCTTAAGAATGTGACTGACACTATGACGCAAGCTGATTTTAATTGGAGCTGCCACAATCTCACCCTTCCCCGCACCTCTCTTATCACCTGGCCACATGTCCCTGAGCCCATCCTTGAGTCAAGACTGGATACATCTCTGGTTCAGGGAACTTTCAGCTGAATGAAAATTCATTTTACATTGTTTTCAGCCAAATCAACTCCTAGTCACAGCTCAACATCCAGGCATGAAACCTGGGGGTTAGAGCTAAGGAGGTAGCAGAACTGTGAGGAACACCAACAGGGCAGCCTCAGTGTCAGTCAGTTTAAGCTGCTGTGGACCTACATCTTGAGATGGAAGAAATGCTCCTATCACACAGCTGAAAGCCAAACCAATCATGGCTTTATAGGTAGAAAAGCTACCACCTCACACGCTAACCTAAAATAAAATGGCAGGCTATGCAGATCATACAGAACAGATACAGTCTGCTTCTGATGAAAAATAGCTTGAGATAATGGTGTACTGCTACAGCCTGCACCAGGGGCAACTTCCAAGTGGCAGGCTGAATTAGCCTCAAGTGACATGCATTAAAGTATTGCTTCCCTGAGGCAATAAGGCAAGGTCCCACATTCAAACGGAAAGAATTGAGCTTTCTTGCCAAAGGCAAATGATAAAGCAATAAAACAATTAAGAACCATTGTTACCAGGACATCCAGAAGATCCTGAAAAATCTTTCAAGGACTTCGGAAAATACATTTGGAAATAAAGAGCAGGAATTTTCTTTTACATCTCCACAGTTACAGTACTAAGCATCTATTTTGCTATTTTTCCGGAGCACAAGGATTAATTCCGTCCTGACTAGAAATTAAGCTGTCTAACCAGCAGCATTTCTGAAATCACTCTGCCCAAACAGTTGTGCAGCAGTTTCTGAGATGTGCACCTGGATTTCAGCTGAATACAGAAGACACTGCAGTCCAAATCTCTTCCTTTTGTTTGGCTGCTCTGGGGGTAACAAAAATTAGAACATTTTGAACCCTGCGTGAGAGAAATCCTATGGCAGTAGGGAATCATCCAACACCATTGTCTACAATTTCTCGAGGAGAAGGATTCACTAAGGAACACCTTCACTAACTAGTTAGCATCCACAGATGACTCATCTTTTGAAATTACAGTAACTGAGAGAACTGAAAGAATCAGAGGGGACACCTGATTTTCATCCACTTTCATTAGTTCAACAACCAATACCCACCTTTTCAGTCCTCAGTCAGAATTTTTATACTCGAGTTACAACCAGCCCTTAAGGACCAAATACCAGATCAGACACAAGAATTGTTGGCTTCTTCCCCTTCAACAATAATGAAATAATGCCTTCATGTGTAGCATTACATAGCAGCATACACAAATCTGAAGCAACGGCATCCAATCAGCTGTCTTCATTCCAGTCTTACGTACGATCTAGTGATGGCTACAGTCATTCTGTCAATCATGGGCAGCTGCACAGGTTGTTACACAAACCTATACATGTTCAAGTTATGTGACCCCTATACAATAGTTCTGCTGGTTTCCCCAGCATATGACTCGTGTTTTCCTTCAGCTGCTTTCAATACACAGCTTCCTGATAACAGTCAAACCTATTCATGCATATATTCTTGCTGTGGTGTCACTGAATACTTTTATCTATAAAGTATATACACTTTATATATATACTGTTATATACTATATATATACTGTTTTCCTGTCAGAAAACACGCATACATGTGTATCTACATACTAACATATATCTATAAAATACTCTGACAAATACCTGTTATTAGTAATCTAATTAGGACAGTATCATTGGCTCATCATCTCAACAGTTTAATTAAATTAATTTTATTTTTTTCAGATTACAACAGGTGCCTACATGAGATTAGACAGTCTTTAAAACAACGAGGAGAATCTAAGAATCTTAAATTACCAATATTTGAATAATTTCTATTCAAGTGTTCTTGATTTGTTTAAAAGTGTATTACCACAACACTAGCTTCAAAACTTCACTTTAACAATTCTTCTTGGAGGTAAAAGTAAGTTAAGCAAATTGTTCATCAGATTTTTCCCTTTCTTTTATTTTGTTGTTATATACACAACCGAAGCTGAGATATGAAAAGAGCGTTATAGACTGATTTAGGTTGGAAAAAACGTTTAAGATAATTGAATCCAACTATAAACCTGGCAGTGCCAAGTCCACCACTACACCATGTCCCTAAGCGCCACACCTACATGTCTTCTAAATACCTCAAGAGATGGTGACTCCACCACCTCCCTGGGCACCCTGTTCCAATGCTTGATAACACTTCTAGTGAAGAATTTTTTCCCAATATCCATCCTAAACCTCCCCTGGAGCAACATGAGGCCATTTCCTCTTGTCCTATCACTCATTAGTTGGGGAAAAGAGACTGACCCCCACCCCACTACAACCTCCTTTCAGGTAGTTGTAGAGAGTGATAAGGTCCCCCTTCAGCCTCCTTTTCTCCAGGATAAACAACCTCAGTTCCCTTCAGCTGCTCCTCATAAGACTTGTGCTCAAGACCTCTCACAAGCTTTGTTGACCTTTTGACGCGTTCCAGAATCTCAATGTCTGTCTTGTAGTGACAGGCCCAAAACTAAACACAGTGTTCAAGGTGGGGCCTCACTAGTGCCAAGTACAGGGGGACGATCACTGTCTTAGTCCTGCTGGCCACACTATTTCTGATACACTCCAGTATGCTATTGGCCTTCTTGGCCACCTGGACACATTGCTGGCTGTCGACCAACACTCCCAGATCCTTTTCCACTGGGATGCTTTCCAGCCACACTTCCCCAAGCATGTAGCACTATATGGGGTTGTTGTGACCTAAGTGCAGGACCTGGCACTTGGCCTTGTTGAACCTCATACCATCGGCCTTGGCCCATCAACCCAGCCTGTCTAGATCCCACTGTAGAGCCATCCTATGCTCAAGCAGACCAACACTCCCACCCAACTTGGTGTCATCTGCAAGCTTACTGAGGGTGCACTCAATCCTCTCACCCAGATCACTGATAAAGATATTGTAAGATATAAAAGTTAGTGTAAGCAGAAGAATAATTCAGTGGAAAGTAGCTCTTCTTGTAGCTAATTAAATTTTGGCATTTATGAAGTAACACTTCTTGTGCTAGCTGTCTCATTACATTTTGTATTAGACATTATGGGTGGGACTATACAAAGGAAGAAAGGTGTGATGCTGTATCAGCTCAAATCATGGTGAAGTAGTTCAAGTTGATTCCACCAGTTGCACATTCAGACCAGCTTCAAGTGCTTTTGAAAATCCTCTCCCTTCTCAGCTTGCCAAGCAAAATTCCACCACTTTGTGTCTGGGAAGCAACATCTCCAAGTTGCAGATTGTGCAGTCCTGTCAAGTTAAAGATGCTGAGAATTTCCTTTTAAATACAAACAATATTACTGAAGCTAGTAAATTCTTTCAAACTTTCACTTCGATTTGATAAA